TGTGGGGTAAACGATCCCTTAGACTCGGCCAAAAATTTCCCATAGACCCTGTATAAAAAAAATCTCCAACTGCAGACCAACATACAGTATTTACTACTGTATTTATGGGAATGGGGGCATATTCATAATTGTCCCTATGTATGCTATAACATTGTATCTCTTCGTTATCAAAATAATCGTATCTTCATTATCGATACATTTCTACCTCTTCTTTGTTGATATAATCGTAACTCTTCATTATCGAGGGTATGTAAGAAATTCCAGATAATGGTTTCTTTTTTGGAAAGTTTTAAGTTCTTGTCATTCTTGATAAAAAAAAAATGTTGATGTTTTTTTCGAAATCCTTTTTATGCAAACTATGACTCCCTGTGTCATCAGCATGTATGGCATAAGTCCAAGATAAATGATTTGACAAAAGAGAGAAAGAATAGAATTAAACATAAATTATCGCTCCCCACCCACCTGCTTAGTGCAAGAGGGAGAGATTTTGGTGGAGAATATAAAGATGACTTTATTTTTAAATAATTTCACTTTTTATCAATTTTATTTTTCAAATTTTTATTTAATTTTATTTTCAAAGACTTGTTGTCGCTTATCCGGCAACGCTTCGTTACAGTTTCAGTAAAATTTAGCAGGTTTTGACTTGAAAAACTTGAATCTGCTTGTTTACCGTATATTTCCGCATATAAGGCGACCTTTAAATAAGACGAGGTCAAAAAAATATAGCAAGTTTTCATGAATTTATTCTATACCTGTAGTATAAGACGACTGCTTATTGGTTATATAAAGATGATGTTATTGGAAATGTTCTTACTTGCTGTTTCCAGAGAAATAGTAAAATAAACGAAACAGCAAAACAGATTTTTCCTACACACGTCCCCTAAAAGGAAAACCATCTCTAGATAAAGTTGATTCTTCTTCTTCCTCTTCTTTTCTTATATCTAAACAATTACAAACAGCCTGGTGTACTAATGGCCATTTACTTATACTTCATCAACAATCACAAAATACCTCTAATAACAGTACAATAATATCAGATAAAGGTTGCTGTGAACGCAATCATAATTCGATGTTAACATTTTCTCAGCTGAGCTTGCATGGATACGAGTTGATTTCATTGATATGGAATTATTCTTTGAATAGACAATTTATTATGAAGTTATGCGAGTAATAGATAAGGTAGAAATGGTTTTATTACTTTTATTATCAGTTTATTTGAGATTGTGAATCTTTTTATGTACGTTATTGGTCATCGAACCGAAGCCATCGTTAGCCTCCCGACAATCATCAATCAGAATTAAGGTTTATTTTTTAGAATTGTAGTATTAGACGACCGCAACGTTTAAAGGTGATTTGGGGGAGTTAAAGGTCGTCTTATACGCAGAAATATACAGTATGTTTTGTTTTTTATATCTAAGAAATGAGATAATGCTATTAAGACGCAGTGGCCTGCCGGAAGTGAAAGTGAAACAGAACGGGAAAACTGAGAAGAGGAAAGACTGAGGAAAGGACAAAAAAAAAAAAAAAAAAAATGGAACAGATTTCAAGTAGACATAAGATGGCGATTGACGTTGCATTTAAATTTTTGAAAATTGTAGTTAACAGGGAAGCAAGTAATCGGAAAGGAGTTCCACAGTCGGGATGTGCGAGAAAAGAAACTGAAGAAAAGAGTAGAAGTGGCGATTGCCTCTTGTTAGTTCAACAACAAAATGGTGAGACCTAGTTGCCAATCTAGTAGAATTCTTAAACTCATGTAGGCCAGGTACCAGAGAATAAACCTCGTCAGGACAGTTGCCATGAAAATATTTGTAGAAAAGACAGTGTGTGAAAGTGACTGAAGTCGATATGACAGGTCAAGATTGATTATATTCCTCATCAACACGTTTTGCAGCGATTAAAAACTTAATAAACGTTTAGGCAACATTAGGTGAATATTCCGGTGTATGTGTGTGTGGAAAGGAGGATGAACAAGCTAACCGAGTTCCACACTACTTTCCTATGTTATTCTTGTTCTATCTGGCTTTGTGTTTAACCTGATGATTAATCAAAGAGGAGAGTTCAAATTCCAGTCGGGTTCGTTACATTCAATTACGCGCAAATACCCTCAGGAAAGGTAGGAATCTATCTTTTTTCTTTCCATCCCAGCTATGGGGTGAATAGCAGGAGGGGGATGGGTCCTATAGCCTTGGTTGGCAACCAGTCTATCGCAGAAAGAAACAGCACCCTTTTACGGGAAGATCTTCTGCCTAGTCAGTCATGAATCGAAAGAGACTTGATCGGCAAGCGTTTATCGCGTACGGCATAATATATATATATATATATATATATATATATATATATATATATATATAGTTTATGAAAAACTAGGTAATCCGTATGGGTAAACCTAAGGAGGATATAATCCAGAGAGCTCAATGTAAATCCAGAGCAAATAATTTAAATAAACATAAGGTCTGTTTTTATTTAAATTATATATATATATATATATATATATATATATATATATATATATATAATTCGTACAAAATCCATTATTCGTCAATGCATATTCACTCAGACCGTTGCATACTGCACAAACTACACATATACATAATCTCACACATCTCGCTCTATCTATCTATCTATCTATCTATCTATCTATCTATCTATCTAATTCTTATCATATCTATCTATCTCATTTTTTTTCATATGTATCTATCTATTTCAATCGGCTCATTATCTCTTTCTATTCGTTCATCTCACACTCTTTCTCTTTCTCCCTATCTCTCTCCTCTCTCTCTTTTTATCTATCTATCTATCTATCTATCTATCTAATTCTTATCATATCTATCTATCTCATTTTTTTTCATATGTATCTATTTCAATCGGCTCATTATCTCTTTCTATTCGTTCATCTCACACTCTTTCTCTTTCTCCCTATCTCTCTCCTCTCTCTCTTTTTATCTATCTATCTATCTATCTATCTATCTATCTATCTATCTATCTAATTCTTATCATATCTATCTATCTCATTTTTTTCATATGTATCTATCTATTTCAATCGGCTCATTATCTCTTTCTATTCGTTCATCTCTTACACTCTTTCTCTTTCTCCCCATCTCTCTCTCTCTCTATCTTTTTATCTATCTATCTATCTATCTATCTATTTATCTATCTATCTATCTATCTATCTAATTCTTATCATATCTATCTATCTCATTTTTTTTTCTATGTATCTATCTATTTCAATCGGCTCATTATCTCTTTCTATTCGTTCATCTCACAAATCTTTCTCTTTCTCCCTATCTCTCTCCTCTCTCTTTTTTATCTATCTATCTATCTATCTATCTATCTATCTATCTATCTATCTATCTATCTATCTCAGTCGGCTCATTATCTGTATCTCTCTATTTGTGCATCTCACTGACACTCTTTCTCTCTCTCCCTATCTTTTCTCTCTCTCTCTCTGTCAATCTCCAACTGTTATCTATCTATCTATCTATCTATCTATCTATCTATTCAGTCCCTTCGTATCTATCGATCTGTTCCTCTCGCTCTCTTTCTTCCTCTCTCTCATTCTTTCTAGTTATCTATTCCAGTTTCTTCATATCTATCTATCTATCTATCTATCTATCTATCTATCTATCTCCGTTCATATCTAGCTATCTATATATTTATCTATTTCTACAGAGAGCGATGCGTAAATTGTCACCATTTTATATTTTTAAATTTGTGCAAGCCGGTCGTTTGTTTTTTATTTTGTCGACTGCACAGTAAAGTAGGGTCACTTGGGCACCATCTGTGAAAAAAAGAGCGCGCACCATTGATGCAATTCACTCCACCAGGAATTTGGAGACGGCATGCCGCACTGCTCGACATTCGCGCCGGAAACTCCAATACGAATATTTCAAGGTGTTTGGGTGTTAATCGGAGGATCATGCAGAATCGGAGGATCATGCAGAGGATCTGGAAAGAGTTGGATGAGTCTAATTCTGATTACGAAGGTACGGCAGGTCGGAAATCTCTCTATGATCGTTCTGATAACAAAAGAACTCCCAAATTTGTTGGTGAGGCCTGAGATTCAACACGGAGTCCTATATCAAGTCCCTTGAGTAGGTAGTGCTTCCCTGGGTCAAGAGGGTGGCTGCTGGAAGACTCTATGTCTGACAACAGGATTCTGCACCATGCCACACAAGCAGGAGAACCCAGTCATGGTTGTCAGCCAATTTCTGCCACCGCATCAACCATTAAATTATCTTTCTTGTCACCTAACTCCACAGAATGGAACCCTCCCTTGATTATTATGCATAAGGCGCAGTTGAGCGAGAGATCAACGCCTTGTAACACTAAAGATGAACTGAAAGCAACGATTATGGCAGCATTCACCAACATAAAGAAGGAGACCGTCAAGAAGAGTTACAGGTGATTCCGAAGTCACCGTGGTTGAAGCCAATATCGATTTTATTGAATAAATTTAAAAATGAGATATCAGTATTATTTTCATTTTGGGGGTAATTTAAACGACAATTTATCAATCGCAACATATACATACAATGATTGATAAAAATATATGTTTAAGGTATGTTATATTTATGAGTAAAATTTTTACATTTACTTCCGAGCAAATACAGATGAAAAAGGTATAAATCCATCTCTTCTTCCCCAGCTATGGGTTGAATAGCAAGACAGACTGTGTCCGATAGAATTAGTTATCAATCACTCTACTGCAGTAAGCAACAGCAACCCGACTACAGGAAAACCTTCTGCCGAGTCAACCATGAATCGAGAGATTGACTTATTCGTTCTTTACGGCTTATCAGCCTTTTCAGCTTATTTAAAGCCAGAACATACATTATTTTAGATTGTAAGATTTTTTTTTTAATATAATAATACAAGTCTTACTAATTCACCTATAGTTGGATTCATACTTTTCATAAGGTTATTTACGCGTAAGTATATATAACGGACTCATTTGGAATTGGAACTCGGCCCTCTGATTAACGATTCCGAGCCATTGTCCATTATTCCACCAGCATATCCAAGCTTACAAAACTTGGTGTTCGCAAGTGGTCACCTAATGAATAGAATGAGATAGATAGATAGATAGATAGATAGATAGATAGATAGATAGATAATGAACAGAATGAGATAGATAGATAGATAGATAGATAGATAGATAGATAGATAGATAGATAGATAGATAATGAACAGAATGATAGATTTATAGATAATGAACAAGGATAGAAAAATAATAGATGGATATTAAGAGATAGATAGATAGATAGATAGATAGATAGATAGATAGATAGATAGATAATGAAGAAAGAAAGAAAGAAAGAAAGAAAAATAAGTAGAGAGACTGGTCTGAAGATCGTATTAAGGCGGGAAACTGACAGTCACCATGCAATATTGATTCCTACGTCCACACTATCTGCCCCTATAAGCAGCCTATTTTCGATGCTATTTTCCCATAATATGGCAAATATATTATTATCCCGTCGGTCCATATCACTTAATGTTCCCAATTTCCTTTTTTAATCATTTAAACCCAGGCGCAAGGCGATCATGCCGCTAAGAGGCAAGGCGTTACTGGGAATGAAACAAATTCCTTCATAACTGCCACATGAGATTAGTAGTGATCATGATACATTCATCATTAAAATGGATTCCGAAAACGCCGGAAATTACTTATGACTCACACTAATTGTTTAAACAGAGATTTGAAATTGGAGGAATTCAAGAGATACTCACATTTGTCGATAAAGAAAAAGGAGAAAAGTACAAAGAAATGCTATATTGAATTTTGCTTAGCAAGTGGTCGAACGCAGGTCCTTTCCTGGGTCGGAAATTCTGACAGATAACGTTTGGATCGTTCTCTAAGCTAAAGGGTTAAGAAAGAACTGAGCAAACTTACATCAAACCCTTCCACTAACCTTAAACAAGGACTCATCCCCGAGTACCCCCCCACAACCTTACCATTTTCCCGCTTCGTACCTCGTGGCAACTTGCTGATGCTATGACACCCGGATCTTATCGAGAAGCAGGTTATATTTAAGAGGGTCGGGACTAAGTATTGAATGCGAATTGATTGTTTAATAATGTCTGTCCAAAAAGAGAGTGAGGGAGAAAGGATGATTGAAGGGAGGAGTCGTGTTTTTTCTTTCTTTCTTTTTTTTTTCTTTTTTTTTTTTTAGGGTGGGGAGTTTGCGAGATGGAGGGTTCGCTTCGCTCTCTGCCTAAAGGTCTACTCCGTTAACGTCTGACTTTTTCGAACAAACCGGATAAAGATCTTTGGTATTTGGACGATAGGGTTTTGTTTATCCGCATTCGCTTTCTCTTCCTCGTTCACCTTCTCTCGCTCGCTCTTTCTCTCTCTCGGGCATGCTGGCCCACATGCAGAATGCACCACGAACTTATGGAACAAACTAAAGTATTGGGGGAAAAAAAGTCTTAACTTGGTTAGTGTCGAAGGTTAAAATGAATGCTCTTTCCACAAGCAAAATTGGAATTAAAAAAAAAAATTAAAATTCTAATATTAATAGTTTCCTTATAAGGAAACATTTCACATTTCACATTCATTAACCGAATGTCCAATATATATATATATATATATATATATATGTATATATATTATAAATTAATTGATTTAAAATATTTTTTCCGCTACACAGTTCCAACCATGTTTCAAAAATAGAAGCTAAAAACCCCGAATTTAATTTTGCAATTAAATTAAAAGCATTAGTTCCATTTCATCTTCAAGCGAATTTTGGAGTAACTTTTAAAAATTACTGTTCTTTCTTGTTATTTATATGCATATATATATATATATATATATATATATATATATATATATATATATATATATATATATATATATATATATCCATTAGACATAGCATGTGGAACTAGAACAGTTTACCTCAGTGAGCAAAATAAAGGGTTCAGTTCGACATTCCAACCACCTGAAGAAGGCCGGAGCGTACAACGACCGAAACGTTGTAATAAATTTGGCGACGAAGACAATAGTCCGAATAATGTAAATAGTGTACATAATACCTCATCTCAGAAATATAGACAGATACTGAAAGGCCGAAACGTTGTAATAAATATGGCGACAAAGATGAGGACAATAGTCCGAATAATGTAAATAGTGTACATAATACTTCATCTCAGAAATATAGACAGATACTGAAGGGCCGACACGTTGTAATAAATATGGCGACAAGATGAGGACAATAGTCCGAATAATGTAAATAGTGTACATAATACTTCATCTCAGAAACATAGACAGATACTGAAGGGCCGACACGTTGTAATAAATATGGCGACAAAGATGAGGACAATAGTTCGAATAATATAAATGGTGTACATAATACCTTATGTCAAAAATATAGACTGATACGTGAACTTTTATGTTTTTGTTTTGACTTTTGCCGTAGACAACTTAGGGAAGAAGTCTCGAAGGTCATTGTAGGCTGCAGACTCGACTGTGAGGAAGTGATTCATAAGGCACAATTTTAAGTGCAGTGGAGGAAACAATACTTGCCGGAATTCCAACAATGACACACATTTGACGTTGTTCTTCTCCACAGTGGATCCAATCAGCTGTGGTAGAAAAGCAAATTTTGCTAGGCGTAATAGTCATTTCCGAAACAATAAGAAATAACACTTATTGACCAATGACAAAAAAGTCAAAATATCTGTCTTTATCTCTTAGATGAGATATTGTAATTATTTACAGTATTGTTCGGACCCTTGTCCTCACCTTAGTTTTCATATTCACGATGTTTCGGCCGTTATACGCACTGGCCTTCTTCAGGATCAGTCTATATTTCTGAGATGTGGTATTGTAATTATTTACGCTATTTACATTGTTCGGACTGTTCTCTTAATCTTCGTTGCCATATTTACGACGTTTCAGCCGTTGTGCGCTCCAGCCTTCTTCAGGATCTGTCTATATGTCTGAGATGTGGTATTATAATTATTTACGCTATTTACATTGTTCGGACTGTTTTCTTCATCTTTGTTGCCATATTTACGACGTTTCAGCTGTAGTACGCTCCGGCCTTCTTCAAGATTTCTCTATATGTCTGAGATGTGGTATTATAATTATTTACGCTATTTACATTGTTCGGACAGTTTTCTTCATATTCGCTGCCATATTTATGACGATTCGGCCGTTGTACACCCCGACTATCTTCAGGATCTGTCCATATTTCTGAGATAAGGTACTGTAATTATTTACACTATTTACATTGTTTGGATTGTTGTATTCATCTTCGTTCCCATATTCACGACATTTCTGACGTTGTACGCTCCGATCATCATCAGATGATTAGAATTTCGAACCGATCCCTTTATTTTATTCACTGAGGTAGATTGTTCTAATTCCATGTGCCATGCCTCTTTTGGATATTTCAATTTCATTTATTTCCCTTTAACTCAACACTCCCAGTTATTTGTTCACATATGCCGTGGTTAGATGGTTGAACTTACAACTCTGTGCGTCAAATCAACGCTTTTATCCACTGAGCCATGTGTCCTTGAGGAACATACAACGATCAAAACGTCTTGTTTATGATAACAAAGATGAAAACAATAGTCCGAACAATATAAATGCTGTAAATAGTCGAGATTTTATACAGTGATTTATCCGAATATATATATTTTTAACGCTGGTCCCAATTGGACAGGATAATCAAATAAGTGCTGTATACTATGAGACGGGCCATTGTGGTTTGTTGTAGTTAACTCACCTTTGGCTTACACTAGTCTACAGTACCAGAATCCTATGTAAGACTATAGCTCACGGTATTAGTTAATTGGTATGCTAAATTAGATGGACATGTTGATAGGAGAAGAAAGGTTTGCTGAACTTTCATGTAATAGTGATTTACTAAGCTTAGATTAGATGTGGCACAAAGCCCAAAGTACTGAAGATCAAACTCACTACTCAGTCGTAATGAAGCTAGCAAAGATAAACTTACTAAAAATTATTTTTGTTTTGGATGAAATGTCGATGCAATATACATTCATCTATTTGCATTCTCTCTTCTACGTCCTGTGAGTGTCATATTTCTCAAACCCTCCTTCTTTATTATGAGTCCTAAAAATTTCAACCGTCTATTTCTAGCTTGGTCTCACACTGTCCGCTGATCTGAGATGGAAGAAATACATTGAATCTATAGCTTCATCTACCGCAAGGAAAGTTGGTTCTGTGTGTCACGCCAGAAAGTTTTTCTCGCCCGAGTCCATCGTTCAAATCTTTAAATCAACAATTCGCCCTTGGATGGAATACTGCTGTTATATATGGTCTGGTGCCCCCGCTGTTTGTGTTAAGGCCCTCGACAAAATCCAGAGACGGATATGCAATGTGGTTGGCTCTGATCTGGCATATCGTCTACAGTCGTTTTCTTACAGACGTGCCGTCGCCTCCCTCTGTCTTTTCTACAAATACTTTCACGATAACTGCCCCGACGATAAATAGGCGTTTGTTTCCAACTAAAATGTTTTCTTTCTTCTATCAAATAAAAACATCTCGCTTTCTTTCTTTCTAAATATTTTCTTTCTTTCTTTCTTTTTAAATATTCCTTTCTATCTTTCAAAATATTTCTTTCTTTCTTTCTTTCTGTCTAAATATTTCTTTCTTTCTTTCTTTCTATCTTTCATTCTTTCTAAATATTTTCTTTCTTTATTTCTTTCTTTCAAAATATTTCTTTCTTTCTTTCTTAATACTTTTTCTTTCTTTCTTTCTAAGTACTTTTTCTTTCTTTTTTCTAAATACTTCTTTCTTTCTTTTTTTCCTTCTTTCTTTCTAAATACTTCTTTCTTTCTAAATACTTTTTCTTTCTTTTTTCTAAATACTTCCTTCTTTCTTTTTTCTTTCTTTCTTTCTTTCTTTCTTTCTTTCTTTCTTTTTTTCTAAATACTTCTTTCTTTCTTTCTAAATACTTCTTTCTTTCTAAATACTATTTCTTTTTCTTTTTTCTAAATACTTCTTTCTTTTTTCTTTCTTTCTTTCTTTCTTTCTTTCTAAATACTTCTTTCTTTCTTTCTAAATACTTTTTCTTTTTTCTTTCTTTCTTTTTTTCTTACTTTCTAAATACTACTAGGCTGGAATACGCTCTCACCCTTTCACTGTCGAAACTGTTAAATGTAGCCGTCTCTTCTACTCCAATAGCTTCATGTGTCGCACTCTCGCCTGTGGAACTCCCTTCCCTATTCCTGTTTCCCTGGTAGCTATAATCTCCAACTATTCAAATGTAATGTCAATCGACATCTTCAGATGCCCAGACTAATTCTCTGTCCTTCTCTTCATCCTTTCCTCTATCACGCATCTTTACTCTCGCTCCCAATTTCTGTAACCCCTTTGCGTGCTCGCGGCACCCCCCCTTGCTTTGGGTGAAATGTTTAAAAAATATATAAGCGTCCTTTTTGTTTCAATTTTCCTTAAAAACTTGCTCATTGCTCATATGTTCAATCCATGGAATTCTCAGCATCCTTCTGTAGAACTAGATGTCTATTGCTTCACGTCTCTTCATCATCTCTGATCAGATTGTTCCCGCATTCACTGTCATAGATATTACTCTTTCATCGCTTTTTGCTTCTGTCATTGGCATGATGTCCATTATTACTACTATGGGCTGATTCCTTTTAGGGCGTAGCGATCATGGTTCTCCACAACGTCCTATTATTTGTAGCTCTTAGAAAAAATCGTCTTTTCACTATCCCAAACACTCTTTATTTGTGCCATCGAGGTAAATTACTCAACCTTTCCCCCAGTTTCTCTTATATTCAATAGTCCTGGGTATGACGATAAACTACAACCGGCTGCAAGGCATCTAATCCGGAGATAAGAGATTTTGAGGATCGTGGAACCACCTCTTGATTGCTGATGTTTCTAGGTTAACCCTGTCCCGAGGTGGAAGCACCTGTTAGGGGTCCTAGCTATGGACAAATAGTGTACCCCAACAAAAACAAAGCACTATGAAAGTATAAAAAATGTATTTTATAGTAAAAATCCCAACGATACTTTTTATATATAAAAATACCAACAGTAAATATTTGTAGTGAAATTGCCAATAATAAAAATTTGTATTAATATTATTAACAATACTTATTCATAGTAAAATTAAAAGCAAAACAGTTTTAAAGCAAAATGATCAGCAATACATTTTATCTGTAGTTGAAGGCATACTATTTTGTTCAAAATATATTTAGTTGAAGTCATAAAATTATGTTCTAAATATTTAGATTTCGCCATTAAATAACCCATAGAGGTGTTGATATGCTGCTAAACAGAACCAACCAAACAACTACATATTTAAAGCAGAATGTCCAACAATATATTTTATGTGTAGTTGAAGGCATACAATTGCGTTCAAAATATATTTAGTTGAAGCTATAAAATAGTGTTCAAATTATTTAGATTTCGGGATTAAATAACCAATAGAGGTGTTGATATGCCGCGAAACAAAACCAACCAACCAACCAACAATACATATTTAAATCAAAATGTCCAACAATATATCTTATCTGTAGTTGAAGGCATACAATTGCGTTCAAAATATATTTAGTTGAAGCTATAAAATAGTGTTCAAATTATTTAGATTTCAGCATTAAATAACCCATAGAGGTGTTGATATGCCGCTAAACAAAACCAACCAATCAACAATAAATATTGAAAGCAAAATGTCCAACAATATATTTTATGTGTCGTTGAAGGCATACAATTGCGTTCAAAATATATTTAGTTGAAGCTATAAAATAGTGTTCAAATTATTTAGATTTCGACATTAAATAACCCATAGAGATGTTGATATGCCACTAAACAAAACCAACCAACCAACAATACATATTTAAAGCAAAATGTCCAACATTATATTTTATGTGTAGTTGAAGGCATACAATTGCGTTCAAAATATATTTAGTTGAAGCTATAAAATAGTGTTCAAATTATTTAGATTTCGGCATTAAATAACCCATAGAGGTGTTGATATGCCACTAAACAAAACCAACCAACCAACAATACATATTTAAAGCAAAATGTCCAACAATATATTTTATGTGTAGTTGAAGGCATACAATTGCGTTCAAAATATATTTAGTTGAAGCTATAAAATAGTGTTCAAATTATTTAGATTTCAGCATTAAATAACCCATAGAAGTGTTGATATACCGCTAAACAAAACCAACCAACCAACAATACATATTTAAAGCAAAATGTCCAACAATATATTTTATGTGTAGTTGAACCACACTTATATTCAGTATATCCTGTGGGTGTCAAATTCACCAAGTCTTTTTTTCCAAATTATATGCCTGTTATATACCGTACATATGAACACTAATGGGTATGTCCCAATCCTCATAAATACGTTGGACGCGATTGTAAGTGGGGGTGCTGTATAAGTAGTCCACCATAAGCAGTTGTTTACCTACTTCATGACGCTGGCGAGTATTGTATTTTGTTGATGTTATAAAGATTATCATTTCATTTCCATCCTACTTTTTGGATATTCCTCATTTAGTAACCATTTCCTAGGTTGCAACAGGAGCCTAGAAATTTTATCTTTGATTACAAATATCAGTGTGCAATTTGTTTCTATTTCACTTAAACCTCTCACGTTACTCACATGTCCTCATCATTGAGACACAAGGGGTTACTAGGTGTGGAAGTGTTTAAACAAGCAACATTACTAAGGAGCGTAAACAAAAGAAGAGTAATCAGGAAGACAGTAGATAACACTTGACATTGGATTTAAATTTTTTAAGATTAAATTTGGACCCAGAAGAGTGATCCCCAAGCGAGAAGTGCAAGAGAAGAAACTGTTGGAATAGAATTTACGGTTATATCTAACCAACAACTGTAAGTTGGTGAGACCTCTTCACCAGTCTAGTACTACACTTATATTCATAAAGATCAGGTACCATAACAAAGAGCTCATCAGAAAATTTACTATGAATGTATTTATAGAAAAGGCAGAGGGAGGCAACTTTTCTTACGATAGTTAGTCCTTTTTTCCCGCCTTCCTTTACTACCTTGTTTCGACATTCTTACTGCACCTACTGACTAGCACAAGGCCTCAATATTTAGAACATCATTACGAGCCGTTCTCACTGACGATGGCCTCGAAGCATAATTGAGGTAAATAAGTTGACCGAAGCTTTTACACCAACAAACACGACTTTAGCAATATTTATCGGATTGGCCCAAAATTCTACGTCTTTACGCAATGAGCCTTTAGTACTCACCTACAGGTCTTGCGATTGTTTTCAGGAACCAAAAGACCCCGAAAATAAACGGCTGGAACTCTCATATTCCATTGCACAGATATCTTATTTAATCGCAGAGTCGAATTAGTAGATAACCCGGCGGACAGAAGATGAACTTAAAATTCGATAAAAGATAAGCCCCTTAAGGTAATGTCTATTAGACGGAGAACGAAGTATATTTTAAGTGGTCGATTAAGTAAAAAGATAGATAGGAGGCATATACACACTTTTATATATATATATATATATATATATATATATATATATATATATATATATATATATATGAAAGAGAGACGATGAATTAGGAAAGTAATAGTATATTTAATAGATGTTTGATTAGGATAAAAGAGCCGAGAAAGGGAGAGACGAGGAAGGAAGGCACTAAAAGAAAAGAAGAAAAAAACGAGAGAAAAAAAGAGACGGAGAAAAACAAAGAAGCAAAGAAAGAGAGAGAGAGAGAGGGAGAGAAAGAGAGAGAGAGAGAAAAAAGAGAGAGAGAGAGAGAAAGAAATGGCGAGAAAAAGGCGAAGAATATGAATGAGAAAACAAATCTTGCCCAAGACACACCACTTCTCCTTCTCCTGAATTGGTCGCCCTACGATCCTAATGAGCTGCTGAACATTGTTCAAGTAGGTATTTGAACTGTTATATTTATCTCTAGAGTATTGGTCACAGCATTTCGACCGACGAACTCTTCTGCCTTCCGAGACTTTGGTTGATATAAATTATTTTCATTAGTATCTTCATCTTTGTTGGTTTGATCATTACAAAAGCCGGTAAGCTTTCCGACCTTCTCTATCTAACCCGATTTTGTAATATGAAATAAAGTTTGGAGAGAGTAACTTCATTTATTTATTATTTTTATTCGACCGTGCTAACCGAACGCTCCTCTGTGGCCAAATCGGTAAAGGCACGTCAAGCTAAATGATGGTCCCGTATAGGATACAGGTTCGAATCCTGTCGGAGGACGAATTTCTATGAAAATTTCTCGGGCATTCAGGCCGGTAAATGTTTAATACTGTTTATTATAAACAGAGCATTTACTTAAATATTTGTATCTATAAAAAAAAGGATGTATAAACATAAAAATGTCTTAAAATAATTGTCGGACTTTGTCCATTTTATAATGTGTGACGTCATTTGTTTACACTTGATACGCCATGAGCTGATATGAATGTACGTGAGAGATTTATAGAAGATTGAAGTTCAAATACAGTAAATTCAACCTTGTTAACCGAACGCTCCTCTGTGGCCAAATCGGTAAAGGCACGTCAAGCTAAATGATAGTACCGTATAGTATACAGGTTCGAATCCTGCCGGAGGACAAATATTTTCTATGAAAATTTTTCGGACATTCAGGCTGGTAAATGTTGTTTAATACTGTTTATTATAAACAGAGCGTTTACTTAAATATTTGTATCTATAAAAAAAATTGTATAAACATAAAAATGTCTTAAAATTATTTTTATTACTACTTTTAGTCTGACGTGACCTCCTGGATTCCTGACACAGACTTTAGTTCGGAAAGAAAATGCTGGTATTTCCTGAATTAATCAGACGAATATCCTCATCTTTTTTTTTTTTTTTTTTTTTTTATTTTTCAGTGGAATGCTTTCTGGGCTTCTAAGGATTGTCTGAAATTAATTGGTAAAAGTTAAGAATGATGTTTTTTTTATTATTATTCTGTGACTTGGGACGCATATCTTTTACTTGTTTAAACTCTTGGTCATCTTCTCTTCGCCTCTTTGTTGTGTGTCTACCGGTCAGTACACGGAAAAGCACGGAAAGGGATACTTGGCCCCTGGGTTTCCAACCGTGTGGCGGCATCTTTCTCATTGCACCTAAGAGGGATGCCGAGTAAAATTGAAATACCGACGTGTATCAGTGTCGGCTGGGGCTGGGTAAAATGTCCTTGTACTATGTGTACGAGCGTCTATCTCAAATCAAAAACAAACCATCAAAATATGTCATATTCTGTACCGTGGTTGGGGGGATTAAATACAGATACAGGCTGAGCTGTTATCGCCCTTCGAACTGCGATCAAAGTGTAGTATCTGTCCTTAACCATAATAAAAAAAAGATCTTGTGTTATATCCCGCCCGGATAGATGTATCGGCAGACACTGCTGAGTAAATATCGAACTGTTTTGTTCTACTGATATAAAGCGGGGACATACACAACAAAATTAGCCTTACGTTAATAAAAAAATGAATTTTTACAAGTGTTGCATGAGTCTTTGTCCCACGTGTCAATATTTTTTATTAGAAAAACGGCAAAAGTGTATTTCTTCATTTGTTTACGTAATTATTCGATGAATTGTTCGAAATAATTATTGAGGTCGCAACATTTTGACCGATACAGTCTCTGACCGTTGTCTTCATTAATTAAAATTCTAAAATGGAGGTTGCTTTTAATCCTAAGAATTGATCAGATGACTCACAACTATAAAATGAATTCTTATTATTGAATTCATCAAAATATTCTATAAATAACACATTTGTATAAAAGGCCATATCTATTTTTAGAAAAAAAAAAGGCGGGCCCTGCAAGATATTCTGGCATGAGCGGGCAAATTTCTCAACATTTTTGGCGGGGTTGGGAAGTGATCTAAAGAAGTAGTTAGTCGGTAAGTAAGTGAGAATGAAGGAGAGAAAGACAGAGAGAGAGAGAGAGAAAGAGACATATTGTGGACGGCAAGATAAAGCCGAAAGAATGAGAAACGTGAAAGGAAAGTGAAGATGAAAAAAAGAGAAAGTGAAAAAAGAAGAAAAAAGAAAGTGAAAAAAGAAAAAAGAAAGTAAAAAAAAAGAAAAACAAAGAAAGAAAGTAAAAAAGCAAAAGGAAAGAAAGTAAAAAGAAAAGAGAAAGTAATAGAAGGAAAAAAACTAAAACAAGAAAAAAAGAAAGAAAGTAAAAAAGAAGAAAAGAAAGAAAGTAAAAAAGAAGAAAAAGAAAGGAAGAAGAAAAAAGAAAGAAACTAAGAAAGAAGAAAAAGAAATAAAACAAAAGAAATATAGCAAAAAAGAATAAACAGAAAGAAGTAAAAAAGAAGAAAAAGAAAGTAAAAAGAAAGAAAGAAGAAAATAAGAAATAAGAAAAGAAGAAAAGAAGAAAAAGAAAGAATGTAAAAAGTATAAGAAAGAAAGAAGAAAAAAGAAGAAAAAGAAAGTAAAAAAGAAGAAAAAGAAAGTAAAAAAGAAGAAAAAGAAAGAAATAAGAAAAAATGAGAGAAAAAGAGATTATAATGTAAATGAAGGAAAATAAGAGATTAGAATAAGAAAGAAAGAAAGAAAGAATGAAAGAAAGAAAGAAAAAAGAAAGAAAAATAAGAAAGAAAGAAAGGCATTAAAATCTGCTTGAGAGAAAGAAAGAGATTAGAATGTGTAATAAAGAAAGAAAAAGAAACAAACAAATAAACAAACGAAAAGAAAGACATTATAATGAAAGAAAGCAACAAGAAACAACGAAAAAAGAAAAGAGAGATGAAAAAGAAAAAAGTAACACATTAAAATGTGTGAACAAAAGAAAGATAGAATGTGAATAAAGAACGTAATGCATTACAATTTGCATGAAAGAAAGAAAGAATGAAAAAGATTTAAAAAGAAAGAAACAATGACATTAGATTCTGCGAAAAAGAAAGAGAGAAGAATGAAAGACAAAGCAAGAACGAAAAAAGATAAAAGAAAGACAGAATGGAAAAGGAATAAAGACAAAAGAATGTGTAAGAAAGAAAGAAAGAAAGAAAGAAAGAAAGAA